AAAGGACGCTATTCTGAGAAGGATAAGCTCAGCTGGACACCCCAACTTTGCAAAGCGTTGGATTATAATCCTGCCGACGCCCAGCAATTCGATGATGGTTAAAATTGATTTCGTTAATTATTATGCTGAAGTTTTGAAGAAACACGTTTTAATTGAAATTGGTTTTAGTATGAAATTATAAATTGTTGGTTGACAAAGTGGTAATGCAGTTTAGGTGTGTTTTGGATCGATTTTAAATCAGTATGTCATTTTTTCGATGTATTTTACGTGAATTGGGATCCCTCGATATTTCCATATACATATGGCTTACATGCGTAAGTGCTTACAATTTTATGTTTACTAAGAAATGCATAACTTTATATGGATCGATCTCATGCAGGTTTCCTTTTAAGGATGTGGTCAGCAGGTTTGGGACCAGTGAAAGATTTGTACAGTATAGCAGACAATCCTCAGTACACACTGGAAGTAAATAGTAATGGTTCAGTCGCAATATGGATTTTGCTCACACGTCATATAACAGACAAAGTCAGAGCTTTAAATTTCGAATGTATTTTATTGTCGAATTTGATTTGAATTGAGAAATTATTTTGATTTAAGAATCATAATGCCTGTTTTTAGAATGATTTTGCTAACAACAAAGAATATATCACAGTAATGGTCTACAAATCAGGGAAGAAAATTTACATACCATGTCAGATTTTTGGTGATATTTATATCGTTTTGTTTATATTTGATAAAAATGATGCAGTTCATAAAAGTATTGCTTGATATTTAATTATTTAAGATACTAGCAAATCTAGAAAAATATACTTACTTTTATATAAGGATATTTGATTGGAAACGTTGTAAGTGTATCGTTTAGGTTTTTTATAATCTGGTCATGATATCATCAGTTTTAGCTGATCCAAAACCAATAATGGATGCAGTGCGATTGAATAGCCCTCACTATTTATGTCAAATGATTATCTCTGAATGTGGTTATCAAAAATATACCCTAGTTGTTGCTCAGGTTAGATTTTTTAAGTAGCTCTCTATCTATTAAAGAATATTCAAATACTAATTCACTGATGATAAACTTTTAAGCTTTATGTAAAATTAACTATAATTCCCAGTTAGTTTACTTCAGAGTTAGTTAGTTAACGTACTTATGAAAGTAGAAAAGTTGTATTATGGTGTGTTTGAAGTTATTATAGCTGAAAAATCGTTGAAAAAAGTAATTTATAGAAACTTCAGTGGAGGAGTTGAAATTAATAAGGGTCAGACATGAAGTAGAAACAAAAAAACAATAATGGGAATATTGACTATGCTATGGCGCTCTAATGACGTCAATTTAAATTTCTATGTTTATAGTATGAAAAGATGAAGACAATATATTATACGTTACGAGTATATTCGACAGCTGAATTTCGCTTGCAGAAAGTGAAAGTGCCATATATTTCGAAGAGAAGGGTATATCGATTTAGTATTATAAATATTCTTATTTGTTTAAACGCCTCTTGAAAGGGCACGTTTTTAAATTGTTTTTAGGCAACTGGCGAATGGAAAGGAAAAACGGCTGGTGGTTGTGGTAACGGCCCAAGTCGGGACACTTATATGTATGTTATTTTAATTTGCATTGATCCTTATTTATTTTCCTAAAGATTCGCTGTATCTTTTGAACACTTATTATAATTTGTATATTTCATAGGAACAACCCAATATACGAATTGAGTTTGGATGATGGTAGCGATGATAACGATGTACTTATCGAATTGAAGGGTCCGAAACAATACAGTATTGGCTTTGAAATTAAGCAGTTTTCCTCGTTGAGAAATAAACTATTTGAAGCTCGCAGTTCAGGACCATTCAGGTTCGAATTTTTTCTCTTTATTTATAGTTTTCGTTTTTTCATCCAATGTTTAACTGCTGATAATTTATAGACCGGGATATACCGTACTTGCTCTAGAAGAAGTACCGGCTGGTGTCTACAACATTCAAACAATGACTTTCCAACAAGGCGAAGAAGGACCTTTTTTCTTAACGATTGAGGCATCATGTTCGTTTACAATCAAACGGATACAGTAGCTATTTCGTGACATTGTTTTTGCAAGTTGGATTATTTTTCTTAAAGGTTATTCTAATATATGTTATACAAAAGTGAAAGAAGAACTGAGCTTTATTTCATTCCAAAGATTGACGAACAAACAAAGTTTTATGAGGTGATTATTGTCTGAATGAGATGACTGAAATAATTTCTGATCTTACTTTTGGTTTTGCATTGCGAAGATAATGGTCTTAATTTTGGTCCAAAATGTAAATAGGCTTAGTAGGTTTTATTTGGAAAATGATACATTTTAAGATGAAAATATTTATTCAAAGGACAAGAAGACTATAAAATATTACAAATAAGAAAAATACTAATGAAGCATTTCGTATTGGAAAGATGAAATGAAAGATTATAGTGCATATAGTTATGCCATTAAATATGTATATACGTAGATGAATACTTGCGTGAATGTGTATCATATTCATTTTGTATTAAACAAACTTTAGATATCTCTCTGTTTTCATAGCAAATCATTCTGTACATTCTTTTTTGTTTGCCACTATTGTTCTTTCTTTCGATCTATTATGTGCAAATATTTTATGAATAATGTCTGAATTTATGAAAAAAAAAAAAAAAAAAGAATAAATAGTTTCTCTTAGCAGTATTTCGTTATTTTTTTCTGCATTTTTTTTTTTTTTGCTTATAATACAGAAATAACAATAAGAAAATTAGTTTTCATTAAAATAATTTTTATTAACTCCATAGGCAGAAGCTACCAGCTCGCATTTGACTTTTTTGTTGTTCGGTTTGGTCAGAAAATTTATCAGAAGCATTATTAGAAGCTATTAGTCACATTTGCCTTCCTCCCCTTTGCTAGTATCCTGAAAGTGCCTTAGCAATACTATCTTTTGTTTTGATACAAATGTCCTACTTTTTTTAACTTACGTAAATCATCAATTTCGTAATAATCATTAAGGAAAAATGATATTATAGATCCAAAGATTAACTACCTATCGCAATTTGATCACTTAAACCGATAGAATTGATCATAAAAAGGAAATAAAATTTTATTTTTTAATAGTTCTTAATGTATAGCTATTGAAGTTTTTGGTATTTTTTAAGTGAGAATTCACTCCGTCGTATTTTTTATCAACAACTAAGGATTTTCTTCATCACATAATTTTATTCATTTGCAACGGATTCACTATTACTCCTTGGAATCAGAACTTCATCTAATCAGCTCCCGTCTAGCTGGTCCAAAAATGGTTCAGATTATTGCAATTTTATTAATCAGATAACGGGTTTGTTCTAGCAAGATTCCCTCTGAATCTTAAACTTTTTTTGTTTGTTATTACTACATAGTAGTAAAAATGATAGTAATAAGATGATTTGTCAGAAAATATTGGATGTTTTTTACATAACCTTATGATAAAGTTAGAAAACAATATAGAATCACACTTGTTTTTTTCAAATGTTAGTTTACAAGTTATTGTTGTTGAGTAAGTATCATTGCTTTTGCATTTGTCTCAATTTGAATTAGCGCAAGGAAGCAATGTTAGCTATATTTCATTTTATTCAAAGTCATTTAATCGGTATTATTTAACACTATTAATTTGATTAATTGCTACCAAATAAATAAAAATGTTATGTCAAATATTATTAATTCATGAAGAAGTATTTTTCTTTTAATATGTTGATCAGCAAATCGAGCATAATACTGGAAAATAAAATTGCGAATTTCAGAATGACATAAAATTAATTATTTGTTTTTGGAAATAGAAAATACAATTTTACTACATAGTAGTAATTTACTAATAACAGTAAATAGTAAATGTATATTTCTTTATGTTTTATATTTCAAATAATTCGCAATTTTCGTTATTTTATTTTATAGTTTAGAAATGAAAAATCTGCATTTGCATTTTGAAATTGATTTTTTTAGTCACATCTATCTCGAAATTTCGAGAATCAGATGTAAGACTGAATGATTCCAGTTTTTTCCTCATAATTTTTCTTTTCTTTCAAAATTTTCTCAATTCATATTTCATAAGTAAAAAAAAAAAAAAATTAGATTAGAATTTATCCAATCCTTTCATGAATTCGAATCATTTTTCAACAATTGTTTATTTTTTGAATATTATATCGGCTGAACGTACAAAACATCCTAACATTAAATGCAATCAAAGCATATCAAATGCTAACAATACTTTTAAATAATATCAATGTGACACTAAACAGTATAGAATACAATCTAACTGATACAAGTGATAATTGTATTTCATACAGAAATGATTATTTGAGCGATCACTCATGTTTTTGCTCTTTTTTTCAACAAATCAAAATTTTTGCTTTAATATAGCAATATAACTAATATATATAAAATATATTAAAAATCATAAACTATTCTCTTTTGTTAACTTTATCATTTATGTTAAAAAACAAACATAAATATCATATTAGTAAATAAATTAATAAATGAACGATTTGTTTCATATGTTTATGTTTTTTTTTTTTCTTTTATGTAATCAAAATTCAATCATAAATTAAAATTTTTCTATTATTTTTCAATTTGTAGGAGAGAATAATGAAAATATTATCTTAAGTATGGATGTTAACAATATTTAACTAAATAAGTAAGTTATTTCAAAGCTAATCTATGATGGCAAAGAAAAATGATAATACGTGTAATTGTTTATTATATTTTTATCACATTTAGAATAATAAATCCGATATAAATATTATTGCATGAAATTAGTAAGCGGAACGATGATTTTAAATATCATCGTTATCATTTCTTTACTCATTTAAAGAATCATTTATTATCATTTCAAGTGAACTACAATGTAGGAATTACCATTCAAATAAGTAAAATATTATCGATCATAACTGGTTGGATTCAAATCTGTTTTTTCCAAAATAAATTACATAGTCATTTTCTCTGCAAAATCAATTACAAGTTTTAGATTTAGCTTAATTAGCATAAGCCACATGTAAGAGGGCATTGAATAGAAATTAATGGTATATACAATGGTACATTACAAAGATATTTCACATCTTTACAATTTGATTGTCCATCAATTCCTTTTTTGTCCTCACAAATTGCTGCAATCAAAATAAATGATTATATATTTCCAATAATTGAATTTCTATATCAGAATCACAATTATCATCTCATTTCATTGATTTGATAACTATATTAATGAATGTATTTAATTCTAAAATCTTTAAGATAAATTCAAGATAAAAAGTCTTTAAGGTAAATTTTAAAAAAGAAATTTGTTTCTTAAAAAATTAAAAAAAAAAGAAAAAAAAAACAGACATTACATTCATTATCAGCTACAAAATTCGTTCATCTATGATTCTTTAATTCATTCATAACATCATATATGAATAGTTTAATTAAACTTACATGATGTAGACATTGTTGATATTTCGCTATCACAAAAACCACATGTTTTAGTACATTGATCTTTCATAAGTTCCGCATAAATTGGATCATGACAGAGATGAGAATGTAATAGACAGTCAGATGGTTTTCCAGATGCTGCTTTATCTTGACAAATTTCTGGTGTAAGTGTAATTGTCGGTGACATTGCTAAATAAACTATGTAAGAATGTGATAATTAAAACGATGATAATTAGTTGATAAAAAAAAAAGAATGTTTTATTAGCTTTTTGCTTCATCTAATCACTACTAATTACGTTGATTTTAATGCTTGAACCGATGACTTAAAATAATTAATTTAGCAAAACAAAGCAGTACTGATCTAAAATTTTCGCATTCCTTTTTTCTTGCGCGAAAAAAAAAAGATCGCATTCTTTTCTTCCCTTTTTTTCCCTTATTTCTATTATTCTATCATTCAATTATTTGATAATTTTTAATACATGCATTGCTATTTAAAATAAAAATAAATATTTCAACAACTAACGTATATCACAATAGCCGCATGTTAATTGACAAAATGATGCCATCAATGATTGGTATAATTTGTTCTTGCAAAGAAAATAATACTTCAAACAATCAGATATTTTATCGTAACATTCATCTGATAATTAATAATAAGTGATTTGAATTTGTTACATTTTTAAAAATTTAAATAACTTTATGGAATTCTATTTTTTTTTTTTTTTGCAATCGAATAAAAATTTAGAAATTTATAAAAAATATGAATAGTTTGTACCACTAGGAATTGTAGTGAGTGGAACGGTGACATCATCATCTACTTTTGGTGTTTTCAACCAGATGCAAATATTCGCCTTTTTTTCCGAATCAACACATTTAGAATCTTCGTGTTCACATTCATTATTTTCATTACAATCTACATATTAAATGATATTATAATATTGATAGTAATAACAATTGTTATTGTCAAATTTAATTAAAAACTTAATTTTTCATTTTTTTTTAAAATAATTTTGCATACAAATTGCTTAATAAATTTATTCTTAAATATCGAAGCAAAAAAGTTTAAGCATTTGTTCAATTACCTCCAACAACTTCATAGCACTGATCTTCGTAACAATCATCACTTTCCAACACACATCCTCCATCGATACAGGCTAATGAACATAAATTTCTTTCAAATTATTTGTGAAATATTAATTATTCCTTGAAACGAATAAATCGTTTCATTCAAAATTTTAATCTTTTAGACTTCAATAAATGTGTAAGTAGTGCATAAGAATTAAATCTCACTAATTTTACGAAATTTTAAGTTTGACCAAAGCTTAATTATTATTTATTCCTTGTAAAATAAGGATGTGAAAAGGAAAGTTGAAAAGCAAAATATTTGCAAAAAAAAAAAAAAAGTATTACGTCCTCTTTGTGCAGTCGCACATTGCAGAATGATGCATGCAACAATAATATTAGTTGTCAGTTTCGTTCTAAGAATGCAAAGAGTTTTCATAGTTGAGAAAACTGCAAGAAATTTTTGAAATTCGTTTGAATTGATTATAAATGGATTTCTTTCTAAATGTGCATTCAGCAGCATAAATTAGACATCGTAGTTTCTTATAAGCTAAAAAAGTTATTCAAGACTAATTATTTCATTACCTTAATAAAATATTGTCCTTATCTGCATTAAAAGTCTTTAAGAAATAAGTGGAAAGAATAAATTGCAAATTATTTAGTTATTTTTGGATAAGCTAAAGTGGTTACTATATTTTAAGCAGAAAAATTAAAATAGTACAAAACACTAAGAGAGGAATGAAGTAAAAAATTCATCTGAAGCATTAACTTTTAAGAGTTAGTTTCATAACTGATAATATGATATTGTATTATTTTTCTTTCCAATGATTAAAAAATTGACATAATCTCTGATCAAACAAAAAGCAAACATATTTCACAGAATAATCGTTTAGTCGCAGCATTTATTAAGTAAAACGACAAATTGTTCCGTTTTTTTTCATTATCTAACTATCTTCAAATATTTGTTTCCACAAATGGATGCTGATAAATTGATTGCATAAATAATTATCACTTGCAAGTGAAAGCAACTTTTTGTTAATGAAATCTTTGATGGTTGTTGAAATTTAGTCTTACACGACAAGGTCGTGTAAGACTAAATCAACAATAAAAAAACGAACATTATGTTTGAAAGATGATAACAATATAACATTTTCCAAAGTTGAAATTCTCAAATATTTCAAAATGCAAAAAAAAAAAGTTGAAAAGATAAATTAATTTGTAAAAGTTATTTTAGCTCTATTATAGAATTTTGTAATGAATTCTGCAGTCAGAACTTGTCAACATTCCGAGAAATCTCTTTTGAAATGAAATTGTTTTTGTTTCGATGCATAATTTGAAATTTATTTCATAACTTAAAAGCCTTTTAATTTCAATATTTTCGTGATGTTCAATCACCAATGTTGAATAGAATTCCAGAAAAAAAGTTTTTTGATTGACTTTATAAAGATTTTATTGAAAATTTTATGTCTTGTTGATTGCTGCTATTGTTGTTGTAATTACACATGGTATAATATATATGATTTTTATTGAATTAAATAAAAGAGTAAATTTTGTTATGAAGATTAAAAATTCAAAGATTAATTTATTAATGGATAAAATTATGAATTAAAGACTTTACATGCAATCATATAATTAAATTTAGTCAGCCTAACAATTTTTTGAAAAGAAATCATCAAATTATTTCATTTCCAATGTTGTTTTAATCAAATTATGCTTAATAGTGGTACCAACAAATTCATAATGTTGTCAGATATTATAAACATGAATAAAATTTGAGAAACACATATAAAAACAGCGAGAAGTTAAAAAATTTGATAGCTCTAATCCATCATAAATTTTTATTTTTTAAACAACAATTTTATAAAATAATCAGAAAACACTTTGATCTCCTAATGATAAAATTGAGCATTAATTACTTTTCGAGCAGTACCTAAGTTTGTAATAAATCTGATATTTCTCTACCAAAATGTCTCCTTTATTTGTACTATTAATAGATGTCTCTATTATCTTGTTTCTACTCATAAAAATTATAATAGATTTTTATTCAAAAAATTTGTAAATTTCATTAAAACTAAACAATCTTTGCAATTTAAATTAATTTGAAACACATCGTTTTTTTTTTTTTTAATTAATTTCTTCATATTTTTATGACAAAATCAATGACATTTCATAAATATGATTCATTGCCCAGTAAATAATTCATTTGATAATTAAAAGTGATTTATATCAAAATCATTAAATAAACTAACGACTGTGTTTTGAAACTTTTGTTCATCATAACATTTATATAAACTCTGAATTATATGTTTTAAGAAAAACATAAATTATGATGGTATTTTGAATAGACAATTAGTTCCTAAGCAAATGATTAAAATAATAAATGGATTTAAAAAACCATTTTTTTTTACTCTTTCTAGCAAAAAAGAGGCAGAAACAATAAAAATTAATGAATACCATAATTAAATATTAATTTGTTTTTCAAGATGATAAGACAATTTTTTCAAATAAATTATTTTATATTATCATTAAGCTATAGAGGTTTGAGACAATTTATCAGTTGCAGCAATGATTCCATGTCTATTTGTTCCTTCAAAATATTAATATAATTCCTCAATTTTATAACTTGTAATTACAATAGTATCATAATAATTAAAGATTACACGACATAGTCATTAGGCTAATCAATGATATATTAGTAATTTATTTTTAGCATATAAGTATACTTCTAATTAAAAAATGGATTAATCAGTAAAAAGTAAATCATACCTATGAATTATAATTGATTTAATTATTATATGAAGAAATTAGATGAAAATAATCGAAAATTTTTGCAGCAATATGTAAATCATTTAGTACCAATATTAAATTAAAAAACACAAACAGGATTATTCAATACTATGCAAGTTAAAATGACATTTAATACTAATTATCCATCTACTTCTACTTGTGAAAATATTGCTTGCTCTATTTCATCTTTTTGTGTGTTGAATTCCAAACAAATTCATAAGTGATAATGATTGCAGCAGATAGAGCTTAAAATATTGAAATTTAAGTCTTTTTGCCATTATGACTATTTTAGTGATAAAAAAATGCAAAAAAAATGGGCTGAAAAAAGTGATAAAAATAGAGTGATTAACAAAAAGATAATAATATCACAAATCATATCCAAGTAAGTATTTTGATTTGTAAAACTTAAAAATAAAAAAAAAAAATAAAACTTAAAAACTTATAAGAGAGAAACTACCCAGTAATACTATGCACTTGTCACATCAAACGAAGCTACAATACATCGTAATTTCTCCTTTATGGTGCTTTACATAGCTTGACGATTTGCAAATATTTCGGGAATGTTCGAAGCACTTTTCGATTACTTTCACATTAGTCAATTTTCTTTGGTAATGTATAGCTAAATTAGTTTTACATTCAGCATATTAAACATGAAAAAATTTAATATAAAATTGAGCATAATATAACAATAACTAAAATTTTGATTTTCAAAAATTAAATTTGAGAAATGATATTAGACTAATAAGTTTAGAAAGATATCAAATTCGCTCTTTCTCACTTTGCTATTAAAGCTTTTTCAATTTCTATCAAAGGGATTTGAACTTATATATAATTATATATTGATCATTGGACCAACAAGAATTTCAAATAAATATTTTAATATTTAAGTATTTTTTAATGTATTCTAACTAATTTCCCCAACTTTTTAAAATAACTAATGGTTGAAATGAAATACTAAAAGAATACTCAGTATTAAATTGTAAGTGCTGATAGACTTGAAAAAGGTAACAATGAAAAATGTTTCCTCCTGATTTTTGTGCAAAATCCACGGAAAATTTTATTTTAAATCTTAATGATAAAAGTTGAAATTAATTGGATAGGAATTTTTTCTTGACTTTTTAAATTGAAATTGGAAATGTTATAATTTTTGATTTTTTCTTTTATCGAGATTAATTTTACAGGAGATTTTCTCGAATTTTATTGTAATATTATTTCATTTTTTGGCATTACAGAATGGTTAATCCAAATTTAAACCAGTAGAAAAATGTCGAAAAATGTCGCTGTAATATTTGTCATGGTTGTTCATTGTTTATTAATTAACTTAAATGCATAAAATCTTTACTGGTAGCACTAGTGAGTATTTAAATTTCATTTATGCATCTCAAATTAAGCAGCTATATTTTGTGCCTTCCCTACATTACTTTAGCCGAATTAATATTTATTAATATGACTAAAATAATCTAATAATTTTATCAGTCCTTAATATGTTATGATGAAATTTTTGATCTTATTTATTACATTCCTTACATCTATTATTACTACTTACTTACATGTATCTTTATCGCACACTGCAAACATTGCTATTATTCAAATGTTTTATATCTCAAAGATCAATGATTTCATTGACAATATGATGATTTTATATCGAGCATAGGATTGAACAGACCACACCATACATAACGAGCTCTGGTGCAAAGCATATAATATAATCAATTAAAAATATCTATTTTTCTTTAAATTAATTGCTATTTCTAGCAGATTCAGCATTTAATTAAAATTAAAATTGATAATCTAGAACAAATTCCTTGTTTAATGTACAAAAACTATTATAAATATTAAGATCTTTAAAAAATTCAAAATTTAAATTTGAAATAAAATTTAATTTTATTTCTTAAGATGAATTAAAACCATGATTAATTAAAATTTTATTTTATTTAAGTGTTGAAATTTTTTATGTATATTAATTCATTAAAAAGAACAGATATTTTCAACTTTATTGATTATTTTATATGCATTTTTTGGGGGATGGTCATGTTCCGTTTGGTCACTTCATAGTATATTTTCAAAAAATGCAAAATTTCAGTTTTTTTAAAATTTCAGTTTTAATTGAAAAAATGAATTGGGGCTGTTACCAATTAAAAATTTTATAAATTTCGCTACTGAAATATTGTTGAAACTTTAATAATAAAGTTTTTTTTTTTAATTTTATTTCATTATTATTGCTGTGAAGTGACCAAACCGAACATGACCATCCCCTAAAAAATTCATATAAAATAATCAATAAAGTTGAAAATATCTAATTTTTTAAATGAAGTTATCTTTTTAAACAGTATTAGCATTGAATGAAAGTAAAATTTGACATTATTAGAACTTATTTCCTAGTTTAGCATACAGAAAATTAATTGATTACTTTTGTTTGCCTCTCAGTTGATCTGCTCACATTTTATCGACCATTTTTGACATTTTATGGAAAAAAAAACGTTTTAAAAATTAACTTCAAAGAAAACTTTCAGTGCAGAAATTAATTAAATTTGCAATTATAAATGATTTTAATCATTTTTTAAACATTAAAATTAATTTTATTCACAAATCTATATGGGGTTATTTAAAAAATTTCGACAGTTTTTTAAAGTTTTTAAATTAAATATTAAAAGAGCTTTAGTTTTTCTTAATTCTGTTTCAATTAAATTCTATTTAAAAATAAATATTTTTTGAACTTAGCTGATTACTTTTATTTGCATTACACTTGATCTGCACCCATCATTTTGTGGACATTTGACAATTTAAGTAATACAGAAAGTTTAAAAATACACTTTGAAGTACTTCAATAACATCTTTATCATTTACTTTTATTTGCAACTCTATCATATTACCGCATGATGGTGCACCAATAAAACCAGTGCCAACACTCGGATCATTTTTGTCCAAAGAACCATCATTCCTTGTATTTTCATAATGGTCGAAAATCTCATTATAACTCATAATATTAAGCTGTAAATCACCATCACATATTTAGATCAGAAATTAAATGCATTTTATTTTAAAAATGCATGTGAAACGTTGTATTTAACTTTACACTTGTAAAGTAGTGCATATCATTCTTTATATTATAATTTTAAAAGGAGTATTCCCTTGAGTTTGTTTAGTGACCTATATAGAGGCTTATTAAAAACTTCTCGCTTCAGTGGTGGAGTGAAAAGTACTTTTTCTGACATTGTTCATTAGCATGGATAGTGGTCATAAAACTTGCAAATTGATAGGTTCGCAAGCATCAAATTTTATAAAGAAGTTGAACATAATATTATTATCACACAGCAGCTATTGAACGAAATAGAAGCGATATTTTAAACCCTGTTGTGCAACCACCAATTTTAGACTAAAAACCACGTATAATAATGGTAGTATGTGGAGTGGTAATGGTAATGATAAAACCACAACTATAGGTAACGCTTGCGTATAAATATAAGAATATGGGAAAATCTGTCATGCTCGTTACGTATGACACGTTTAGGACCGATGCTAGTGAAGTTAAACATGTGGGCAGGACGTTCTGATTGCTTTATTGTTATTTGAGAGTACAGTAAACGATTCTGCAAGTGTGTCGTATAGAGCTGTAAGTCAAGCTATAAAAGATAGCATAGATGTTGTTCTGATTGATTGATGGCGCAGCAGGCTGCAGAGTAATGTTTATGTTATGGAGGACCTATCAAAGACATAGAACGATAAAGCAATTGGATGGCATTGCTCCTCATGATGTTATTTTGGTTCTTGATGCGAATACGCTCAAAATGCTTATAGCTAATTAGAGGCATTTAATAAAATGGTTAGTTAGTGTTACAGGATTAATTATTATAACAAAGCTAGATGGTACTGCTAAGGGAGGAGTGGTGATTGGACTTGCAGAAACTTATAAAGTTACACGCTGTAGGAATTGGTGAGAGTATAAAGGGCTTGAGAAAGTTCACTAATTAAAGAATTTGCTAAAGCGCTATTTAGCTGTTATTAAGGATCTCATTTAATTATGGGTCAAGTTTAATTATTTCGATATCGTGAGAAGAGTAATTGCCATTTTGAAGCATAATTGCTTTTTTAAATCTTTTTTTTTTTTTTTTTTTTTTGCTTCTTTAGCCTCAGATCAGCATATGAGATATATCTAATCTTACCTAAAGTGCAATTCCACGTGATATTATTGAAGAAGCTGACAGCAGTAAACTTACTGCGCTTAAAATAAGAGAGAAATCAACCGATGGTTCTTGTAATTATTTCGATATGGTGAATAATTTGCCTGCTCAGATTCACTTCTTTTTTATGCAGAAACATTTTGCAATGAGCATTTTTTAATTGCAATAATAATAGCCAATCGATTGATATTTCATCCAGTTTGTTAACACTTGAACATTAAAACTGGTCAGGAATTGGATGTCAACAACTTTTTTTATGTCGTCTTCATTCAAAAGTGGAATCAGACCGAGCCTAGATAGGTATTCACCTTCAGTATTGATTGAATCTATAACTTCTCTAATGAATCCTCTTAGTCCATCAACGGTATTTAAGTGTTCTCTCTTTATGTAAACGTATAGAGGCCTTGCTAATATGTATTTTCCTGACGATATATTTTCATAAGCTGGCTCAATTCCTGCAATCGTACTCCCTTGTATCATATCTTATCTTGGTTCCTTATTAAAAAGCTAAAACTAAATATTCCTAAGGCATTCTTGTTACTTTTCAACTTTTGTATTGCTATGTTCTCATTAATTCCAACTTCCATATACCTCCCATCATCTTTTATATTACTGCATGTGTTTTCTTTTTTTCTTTTTTTCTTCTGAATCCTCGTAACTTTCATTAAAAATTCTTGACTTCATGCATGAGTATTGATCAATCAATAACGAAATTAACCAAAGTTTCGCATGTGCCTGCATTCTGATATGGACCATAAATTTCAATCTTTAGTAAGGTTTGATTTATATCAGATCAAAGTTTCTTGTTATTTTTTCTCTTGAGAATATGCAGATAAAATTTCAAATAAATACTTCTTTGTAAAATCAAATTTATGTCTTTCATTCGAATTTGCAACGACAATGACCTCTACCACTACTTCATTAACTTTGTTCCTTTTACATAGCTCTCTCTACTTTTTCCTCATTTACAGTACGAAATGAAGTGGCGATATGGCGCATTTTTTCCTATTCCTGAATAAAACATTTTAAATTCCGGCCCTCTTCCTATTGATTCTACAACCGGAGTCTTAAAGGAGAATGAATCTACGATTGAAGTCCTCAGCTATAAATAAGATAAAAGAAAAAACGATTGAAGATCCAACAATTCTTGCATTAGACATATTTCCTTGCATCAGGATTTGACAGTCCCTTTGATGTACTTCTTGTAACTTCCATAGTGCATTTGTTATGCTGTGCTTTTCAATAACCAAGTAGCATATTTCGCAAATAAACAAAACTATTTTACCAAAATTCAGTTTGTTCTACAATTACAATTTACCATTTTTTTTGAAGGACGGCGTAATTCCAGTAAATAACTTGCAAATTAAACATAAAAATACTATGATAAACTTTTTTGCAAAGCATTAGAGAGGTTGAATGAGAAAAAGAAATTATAAGTATGGTCTTAATGAGTAAATAGATCAATCAATCTTATGAATTTCAGTGGGGTGTAAGTTGTAGGAATGGACAATGCAATAGGGTTAGGTTATTGCAGGGTTAGGGTTCAATTTTACACCTCTATCACTTTTAGTAATAGGTAGAATTGTGGGTTCCAGCTTTGCTAGCGCTTTTAGTTATAGGATTGCTACTATCGCAATGACATTAACGAAAAAAAGGGAAGGAAAGACTTAAGTAATAGCAACAGTAGCAGCAACAGCAACAGCACTGATCTCTGTGTCATCGGCAAGTGTTGCTATGAGTTTGTCTTGCTGCAACCGCAAATGCTGCTATTCTTCTTGGTGTATTTGCAACTTGGTGGGAAATAGCAACGGTAGATTATTACTCAAAAGCAATGCTTAAAAAGAATCAAAAGTGGAGATATGAAGAATTATTTGCCTTCTTAAAGAGTTCAAAAGCCTATATAAAAGGTACGCATATGACATTTGCAGGTATTTTCAATCCTCTGGAAATTGCAGATCTAATCAGTTATTTGAGTGTAATAACATGGATTACAGCTTGATGAAGACAGTAAGTACATAGCACATTGCAAGCTACAAAGAAAAAAAAAGCTTCCATAGTCTTTTTCGGTGGATTTTCATTCAATATGAACGGAATTAGAGAACAGCTGCTATTTAAAAATTTCAAGAAACTCATATAGCATTTGTGTTATCTGATTACTTTGGTCATGGTTATTGGTTAGTCAGGTGCTGATTATACTGATTACACGATGAGTGATTGGCAAAAAAAATGTGTTAGATTAATTCGTAACGGCAAGCAAATAATTATAGGCTCAAGCATGGGACGGTGGCTGATGTTGCTCACTGCTCTCCAACTTTCAGAAAGAATTGCAGCACTAATTGGTGTATCGTCTGCTCCTGACTTTACTGAAGATTCAATATTCTATCAGCTATCCGAAAGCAAAAAGAACAATTAGATTCTAAAGGAGTAATAGATTTTACTTCTGAGCATTAAATATACAAAATAACTAAAAGCTTGGTATAGAAGATGAAGATGGCAAAAAAAGCTTCTTTTAAATAAAGAGACAATAGGTATATAAACTGCCCTGTGCGTTTATTGATGATGATAACACCATATTCCTTACCAACTTCGTTAAATTTAGTCAAGAAGTTGGGGGGTGCATCTGATGAAGACAGTAGGTTGAACACATAACATGTCTGAAATCGTTCATTGGAATTTTTACTTCTCAGATGATTTAGAGAGTTTTTGCTGTGTTTAGGACTCATCATATTGCAATGGAGATTTCATTTGGGAGAGCGACCAGAACCGAACTAGACGCTCTCAGTACCCCAGGCTGATGCTCTACCAATTGAGCTACACCAACCAAAGCGTTGTGTCTCTCATACATAAGTACAAAAAGAAAGCAGCAAAAAAAGTCAATTGATTATTTAAGCAATTGACTATTGACTCCTTTACTTCAGACTATGTTGTTCCCTGATAAAACAGTTGCAGAAGCAATTTCATTATTGAAAAAGCTTCTGGTATTCCTGTGGTTGATCAATGCAAGTTATACTTGCCTGTACATTAATTTGCACCGTGATTTTATTAGAATTTTCTGCTGTCTATGCTAACGAAAATTTTGAGATACAAAAAGCCTTTAATAGCGTTGCTAAGTATATAAAAGCCGACAAAAAATGTAAAGGCTTTGACGTTATTGAAAAAAAGAGTGACAAATTCAATACTAAAATTTTAAGAGCTTTAGTATGCACTCTATCTTAGAAAAGGTAAAGGATTCCTTTGAGACGGAAGATAGTGAGACAGCATTTCTCTTTTTAATCAAGTCTCTGCAAGATTGCTTAACATAAAAATGCTTTAATTGGGCTAGGAGATAATTATTATGCTAATAAACAATATAAAAGAATTTAAAACTAATAAAACTTTTAAAAGAATATTCTGTTAACTCTTATATATTAGAAAACTTTCAAACAAAAAATTCACAGTACAATCCTGATCTAATGTTAAGTGGAATATTGAAATTCCATGATGTATAAAAAAAATATGTTTTTTAGCAAAGTTAGGTCTGATCTATATAAAAAAGAAAAACTATAAAAGTGCCAAGGAATAAATGGTAACTGTAATTTCCCATGATCAAAATGATATTTCTTATATCTATAATCTAGCTGTTGTTCTAGATAAATTATCAGATTTCAAAGCTGCTGCAATATTCTACCTAAACTTATTGAACATGGCTGCAAATTTGAAGAATGTGAGTAAAAAAATACCCATATGCAAGGTGGAAGCAAGACTAAAATTTATAAAACTTAATAGTACACACTAGACGATTTTATAAAAGTCAACCACTGTAGGATAACATATTTCTAAGAATATGGGCAGTGAGACATAACCAGTGGGAATCAAAAGCAAACTATTAATTCAAGCTACCAAATACGACAATAAAGAAATTTTAAAAGCTGCTCTAGGCCTCTTCAATGCATTAGAATAAGCTCTTTTAATCTGCTAAGAGAAAGGAATCCATTAATAATAAAAAGGATATCAGCACTTAAACGATGCACTTGCGTTGCTATAGAAAATCTCAAACAACATAATAGAATTATTTATCAGTTCAGATGCTGATGTTAACACATTAGACAAAGATAACAAGAATGCTATAACGCACACTGTGAGAAACACTAGCTGTCTTAAAGTTTATAGTTGGACCTATCAAAGAACTTACCAAAGGGAATAATCTCTCATCCTATAGTACAATTTTTGTTGATAAGAAACTCTGAATATTGCAATACTGATAGTATGAATACTGAAAGAAAGCATGCCCCAATGATAAAGGAGAGTGCAAGACATTCTTTGCAATTGGATCACACTTATGAAGAAATGCCTTCACAAAATGCTGAAACACAATTTGCATATAATAAACACATTTGTAAGAAAAGAGATAGTTTTTGAGATAATGTTACTCTAGCATAAAAGAGCTTAGAGAAAGTCGGTCGATTTATCTGTCACATGTATATGTCCCGGTGAATCTGGATGCAAAAAAAAAGAAATTAAAAGGAACAAAATGGTGAACATTTTTATGAGGAATTCTTTCACTATAGAAGAGATAGTAATTCACTTGACTGTGATTATTCTAGCACAGGAGAATACAAAAACACAGGATGATTCAATTAATTTGTCATAACAATATGCTGAAACAGGTTTTGCTGGAGAATAAGAAACAAAAGAACGAAATAATAAGCGCATTTACATTGAAATTTCTAATATTAGGAAATGTAAAAATCCGCTCTACACCAGCACAGAATAGTGTAAAGCACAGAAAAAGTTACTACAATAAGATCACAAAGACAGGCAATATTTATAAACGATAATTCTGGAACTTACCATGGGCTAGTGCAAGATAGAAAAAGCCAGTGGGAGAAAAAATAAACGAATATAAATGCTTGGAAGCTAACATAGTGATAAATAAAAAAGAAGATTAAAGACTAATACTATTTTTACAATTTCTCAGTTGTTTTTTTACAATACAACTTTTTTCAATTGTTGGACCAATATAGAAAGAATAAGGCACAAATGTGAAACAGACTGTAATTTTAGACATTCTGATATAGAAATGAAATGATCAAGAAAGAACTCTAAAACTCCAAACCTTAAAATAAGCTCAGTTCACGTTGAATATAGTATAGTAGAAGATTGTAGATATAAAATTACCGATATATCACATTAATTGAATGAATCATGGAGAAATAGAAGTATGCGCTAAACAAAATTTTGTATTTATGTAAGTTTATAGACCTTATTGTAACAATAAAAAACAAGCTAATAAATGAAGAACTCTAAATAAAGTATCATCTTTGAAATAATCCTACATTTGAATTAATCACAAGAAGCATGACTCCTTCAAAACCTTGTCTAGTTAATGATTTTCTGTAGAAAATCTTTTGCTTAACCTATTCGTCGTAATCAGAATAAAAAGAATTAACACATTTAAGATATGATCTGCATCTGCTGATGATATAGAAGCGGCACTGAATGACATGAGGTCCACTAAGAGTAGAAGCAGCTCTAGCCATTTTATTGACATTACGCTCGCTGAACCAGGTGGAAGGAGAGATCCATTGCCTAATATTAGGACAGACATAGCAATAATAATAATTTATAGTGGATTAGTAAATGTATTCAAAGTTAAAATAAATATCACTGACGACAAATGGAAAAAATTATTGTGCCTAATAGCATAACAGTGCGTTATCTATATTGCCTGCTACATTGCCTAATACAAATGATATAAAGCTATGGTAATAAAAAAAGACTTATACCTGATCTGCTCACATTCTATCGTGGATATTTGACAATTTATGCAAAAAAGAAAGTTTACAAAAATTACTTTGAAGCAATTTTTCAATGCAGAAATTAATAAAATTTGCAAATAGTGATGATTTTAATTTTTTTTTGACATTGAAATTAATTTTAATTACAAATTTAGATATGGATTATAGGAAAGTTCGAAGATTTCCAAGAGTTTTTGTTAATTTAATGCTGAAAAAATTTTTAAAAATGCCAAATTCTGTTTTAATTAAATGCCAAAAATGTTAGAAAAAATGTAATTAATTTAAAAAAAATATATATTTTGAACGTAATGCAACAAAATATGTACAAAAATTAGCTGGCATAGAGGTTCTTCGCCTCATTAATGAGCCAATCGCAGCAGCACTTTCTTATTCTATCGCAAAGAAGAATAACAGTGGAATATATGTAAAATTTACATATTGAAATTATACCAAGGAGTGTTTCAAGTTCTTGCAGTTGGTGGTGACACCAAACTTGGTGGTGATGACTTTGATCACCTTCTAAGTATGATTATATTGGATAAATGCAGAAAGAAAGTAGGTAAAGATCTCAATTCTCCTAAGCATTTATTTACAATATCACGACCAATAAAGGAGCACTTATGCAAGAACATTTCTAGCGCTTTTAAATTCAACATTATTGATGAATTGTTTAAATGCAAAATTACAAATGAAGAATTGGAACAGACAATTAGTTCTTTAGTTAATAAGATTATTAATATAATCAGTCACTCATACTATAAACAATATAGTCTGCATCTCTGCCAAATGTGTACCACCATCTCATTGCTCGTAGTAGGAGTCATTCCACTTCATTCATATTTCTATGCTAATACCAAGATCTTTTGCATCACCCTTCATGCTGGTAAGTTTGGTAACATAGTTTTATTCTTGTCTAAGTACCGCATGAAATTTGCTATGCCAAAATTGTCTTTAGATTGTTTACTATGTTAAAGTAAGACTCTACATGCAATTTGTTACGAAAGCAAAGTGATGTTGATACTTGCATTTAAAAAAGCTAATTCTTGGATACGATTTTCAAGAATGGAAAAAATCAGTACTACTGAAAGTCTCCGTTAATCTCAGTTACAAATGTTACTCTACTCCCCCTTTTGTTTGTTTTCTTATTTACTTACTCACCATCTTCAAATCGCATAAAGCGTTCTTTCTTTTGCGCGATGACAATGCATTTTCAACTGAGATACCAGCACCATGTACCACGTAATCCGTCAGAAACCTTTTAGTTTTATTGCTACCACATTTACCACATTCGTGCAGTTGGGTCATTATTATCTATGTTGCTCATATTCCTTCTTTGTAAAGGATATCAAAGAAGGATATCAGCTGAAATGCCACAACTATTATCAGTAACAGATACTGAGCCATCCCCATCTATGCTAACCTCAATTTTGTCATAATGCCCCAAGCACTAAAGACTCATCTATACCTTATTATCAACAACCCCACATATGCAAACCAGACCCATCAACCAGGTATACCCCAATGTACATACCTGAATGCTTCCTTATAGTACCATGACCTCTTATGATTTTTATTGCATCAGCGTTATTAGTTACTACTTTCCATACAAACTTTCCCGTTCTATTTATAAATGTTAATACTTTATGTATTCTGCAAATAACGTTGACATTAGAGAAGAATCACTTACGCCAGCTACCACCGTTGATGGCTTGGATAGAAGGATTCGAACCCTGACACAGCGACATCGAAAACCGCTGCCTTACTGCTTGGCTACACTCACCCCAAAAACTGTCCTCATCAATAACATACTATTAACCCAATTAGTATGATTGATTTCTTATAGATATTGTTACAATAGCTGGCTGATCATAAGAATGCATTGCTCAACTTTTTCTACAGTTTTATCAACTTGGTCGCTTCTGCCTTTTATAGTTGCTATTACTTCAAGAGAATTCACTTTATGATATATATTTTTTCTTTCTTCAGAAATATATATTTATATATATAATTAACTTCTTCATTCTTTAATAATTCTTCAGAAGCAGTTTTAGCCTCCTTCACATTCGAAAAAGTTGTGTAAACTAAAACTAAACTGTTCATTAGGATCAACATAAACATATTGCTACTATACATCACTTAGATTGAAAAATCTCTTAAGAAAAAATAGAAGAGACTTTTTTTGAAATCCTGTTGTTTCACTATGTAATAATGAAATTTTGAAATTTTTTATGGTTAAATCTTTACTAGAAATACAAAAAAAGAATGTTACTCGTCAAACAACATCCTTTTGCAGAAACCAACAATTATTCCAGCAATTGCAGAAAAGAGTATTAATTAAATCTGTGGAGTTTTAGCTCTTTTTTTTTATTTTATTTACCAGTAGCTCACAGACTTTCATTGCTCTCCTTGGATTCTCAAAAATCTTAGCGCATTGTGTGTATGTATCACTGTGCAGCCCTGATGACAGTACAAAATGCCCATGCAAAATCGCCTCGAATTCTTTTATTCTAACATCATTTTTAGATTCCATCCTTACATTCTTTATTAATCATTCGGGTATATCATATAAGTAGGCAAAATTAGTCGTTCCATAATGTACAGAGGAAAGTTCATCGATACGAAACAACTGAATGACATAATATAGCAGCAGCGTCCCATCGGCACTGCCAGCATTGCCAGTTGCAGCGCCTATAGCTAAAAAAAATTCATGTGAACATTTGGCTGAAGGAAAATGTACTGCACCCACTCATTCATCTCTGCAACAACCATTACTGTCATCAAAATGAACATGGCACATTCATTCATATTAGTTGTTGTGCTTACGTGCATATTGGTAAAATAAAAGACGACAACTTCTTTGGCGCTTTTAGCTTATTTTGCACGCAGTCTAGGTTGTAGTCAGTGTTGCAATGAATGATTTAGAAAAGAAATGCAAACGTTAATGCTGGTATGACTCACTTTAGTGTTTGAATTGATGATATGTCCTTACAGCAGCACATAAATAGCGGTAAAATCAGAAACGCGTGCATGGAATTTGCAGATATTATGCAAGCAAAATACAACAAAAGACTATAAAATTTTCTGCCATCTTTAAATTCATGCAAAAAACACGACCATACAGCAGGTGGAATAAACTTTAATGACCACTGAGCAATTATAAGTAGCGTGTCAAAGAGTGCAGAGAATATCTAGTATAATTTATCTTGTTTTCCTTTTGGTTTCCACTTTATTAATTTTTTTACAGTTGAAATTGATTCAAATTCAAATAATATTGTGAGAAAAAATTTTATCGCAAAACAAAGATCATCATTGCTCGAATATATTATCATAAGCAAAATGTCAAATAATTTTAAAATATTTGTACTTTTTAATGAAAATTCGATTTTAATTCATATTTTACCTCAAAACCAAAAATAGTTGAAAATGACATATAAATCTATCATGTTTAAAATTCAAATGTAGTTTTGGTATAGAGCAGGTGGTTATAAGTGGTCATAGCAACAGGTAGTCACATGCGTTTACTGTGGCAAGTGGCCGCAAGTGGTCGCAGACAGTTATCGTAGCAGGTGGTTGTTGTAGCAGCAGATGACCGCAAGTGGTTATTGAGTAGGTGATTGCAAGTGGTCATAGTAGCAGGTGGCTACAAGTGGCCACAACATAGGTGATCACAAGTGTTTACTGTGGCAAGTGGCCATAAGTGGTTGCAGGCAGCTACCGTCGCATGTGACGACAGATGATTGCGATAGCAAGTGGTTACAATAGCTACCGTAGCAGGTGATTGCAGCAGCAAGTGGTCGCAAGTGGTTGCAGAAGCAAGTGGCCGTAAGTGCTTACAGTAATAGGTGGTAATTATTATATTTATTTCTTAAATTGGCAGTGGTTTGCCTCGTTTATTAAAGTGAGATTGGTAGACGAAGAGAAATGTAAGTTATAATGATGGAATATAATACTAATTTTTGAATATAACACGGAAATAAAAAGAAATCGAAGCTAATTATTGAAATATTTAAATGGTCTTTATTTCATACTTTCTTTTTTACTACTAACCCTTTGCGCTATGAGAGAGGTTTGTTGCTTTTATTTCAATAATCTAAGCTATATGAATATATTTATTTGTTTATTTATTTATTTTTCATTGTAATTATAAACTAACGATAATGTTAAAATTACTTCTTGAAAAATTTAAAGCAAAAAGTTTTAAATTTATTTTTAGAATTAAAGTAATTAGAAATTATTGTAATCATTATTACCATTCACTGTTTTATTGGTTGATAATACAGATAGCTGCTGCATGGTAGGATGGATTAATGATAAGTTATATCGTTGATTATGTCAATTAACATTTTAAATGGTTTAATAAAGAATTGATGTTAACTGATATAATTAATAATATATGCTGCAATCAATGATAATATAAATTTGTTGCTCGATGTATATGACGAGAATGTAATTTATGATTTCTTGAACTTTATTTATCGGATTTTTATGAATACATGAATGTATGATTTGAAAAAAATATTAATTAATTATGTTTTAATGATAAGGCAAATTTACCAATCGATGCTGAGCATATATATTTTTTTTAAATTATAGCAAATTAAAAAATTTGATAATAATGGTATCTTTAATGATAAATTAAAAATAAACAGTAGTATTTAAAAAAAAAATTTTTTTTTCCATGAATATCATTTTATTTAGGACTTTTACAATTCTGTTATGAAATACAAAAAGATGCGAGCACGTTTTGATCAAAGACAGGAATTAAAGAACGAATACGAATTATTAATTAAATTTGATGAACATACATATGATTTGTTTGGGCTGTATCAGCAAGCGATTGTTGGTGATATCAATGTACCAAGTATTATCATGATTTTATGATCTCTTTTACCTAACATTTAATTAAATTAAATTCAAAAAAAAAAAAATTCTAATATATGTATGCATATTAGTTATTTCGTTTTTTTTTCTTTTAAATAATTTGAAATAAGCAAAATATGATTAGTTTTTTTTTTTTTTTGATATATGCACAAATATATTTTTTTAATAATTGAAAAAAAAATGATTTTATTTTTCTTTCATCATTTATTCATTTAGATAAAGAAATGGAAAAATTTTTTAATTTGATTTGTTATTGATTACTAATTATTTTACTTTTACCAAATATATATATCAATGATTTACATCTACAGAAGTTTATTTGTTAAACATTTGAAATATTTCAAAATTCTATTTCATTTTTTTAAAACAGTTAAAAATTTGACGTTTTGGAAAAAATTAAAATAACGCAATAATTTCAAAAAAATGTAGAAAAATTAAAATGATTCAATAATTTCAATAGTAAAATTAATTTCTAAAAAATTCAAATTTCCATAGAATTTATAATAATTTTACAAGGAATAATAATTATAGAAATAAATTATCGTGACCCAAATGAAATGTCATATATGTGGTCATGGATTAAGGGAAATCGTAAATGGCATGCATGGAATAAGTGCAAAGGTTAACTAATACAATTAATATAATTCAAATTATTTTGCCATATACATTTTTTTAATTCAATTGAATTTCATGAATTTTTAATGGAAAAAATTTTTTAATTAAACTTTAATACGTTAGCAATTGTGCATTTCTTTCCAAATTCACTGTTTTTTCTTTTAATTTTTGATAAATTATTGGTTGAATATTGGTTGAAATTTTTAAATTTTTATTGTATTTTTTCGTTTAATTTTATTTTATGCTTATCAAATGATGAGGCAATGCGTTTGTATGTGGAAAGAATAAATGAATTGGAGAAAGAATTGGATAGGCTTATAGATGATTGGAAAGATGAATTAGATCCAAGAGTTCCAGACAAAAATGCATGGATACCGGAAGAGGAAGCGGAACAATTCCAGAAATTTATGGAACAAGCAAAACGTGAACGAAGGTACAGCATTTATAAAATATTAATACAAATAAAAAATGAAGAAAGAAAAAGAAAAAAGAAAAATTGGTGCAATACTAATTGTTGGTTCACTTTTTTTATTGTTTATTACTAATTCTTAAAAACATTAAAAAATGTAGCAATATAAAATATTAATGAAAAAAATAAGATCAATTCAATTTATTGTTAAAATTATTATTTGTTTATTAATTCATCAAAATACAAAAGTATGAAATTATAAAATGTTAACGTAAATGACTAATTTAATATATTTTGAATTTGTCAATTCATCTTTTAAATACTATTTAATAAATTATTTATTTAAAAAAAAACTTATAAATATTAAATTTTACTATCATCTATTAATGCTATCTTATGTTTTCAGAGAACGAGATGCATTGAAAAGGCAAAAGGAAATTGAAGATGGAATGTGGGACGAATGAAACAAATATTAAAATTTTTGATTTTAATAGATTAGCAAAATTTTTACGTAATTTCTAAAAACATAAAAGCGATGCATTTTTTTTTTTTTAATTTCTTTCTTGTTTTTTTTAAAAAATTCTATTATAAATTGCTTCAAATGATATTATTTCAATATCTGAATATATTTACTTGATCGTTTGATTACATTTCTATTATTTTGATATTTGCCAATGACAATTTTAAATTTATTACACACTTTAATAATTTAGAAAAGATGAAAGAAAAAGATTTCGTTTAAATTTTTTATTTTTTATTATAAAAATTTTTATGCAAATCAAATTGTTATATTAATTATACAAGAATCTAATTTCAAAAAAAAAAAAAAATCAAAAGGAATTTTTTTTTTGAATAAAAATTATCTTTCAGTGCAAATTTTATAACTAAATTAATTAAAATTACAATGGGAATTCTATAGTAGCATTAAAAATTTCCATCAAATTTTTTCGCGAATGTGAAAAGAAAAATTGAAAATAAATATTTATAATAAAAAATTGAATTATAATTCCTTTTTTTTTCATATTGCATTTACAATTATTTGTCAAATAAGATAAATTTAAAATAGTTGAATAATTTTTCATCTTAAATGCTATCATCATAAAATTGATATGCAAAACGAGGTGAACAACCACCGTATTGTCGATTTGTTGTTAATGTCCTATCACTGGATGATTCAGTAGTATCATCACTTTGAAATGATCGATCATCATCTATATTTCATTTTATTTCTCTTTCTCTCGCTTTTATTCATTTATCATTTTATGAAGTTTGTAATTTATAAATTTTTTATCTTTAATTTATAATTTAGAAGTTATTTTATGAAATTTGTAAATTATAAATTATTAATCTCTAACTTATAATTTAAAGGTTAGTTTATAAAATTTATAAATTACAATGCATATTAAAAAAGAAAAACAAAAGCTTTTTTTTTTTCATTTTATTTCTCTCACTTTTTTCTTTCATTTTTTAATTTTAGGAAATTTTTAAATTATAAGTTTCTAATCTTTAAATTATTATCTATAAGTTATTTTATGAAAATTATAAATTATCTAAATTGTATCTTTTTTTAAAAAAAATATGTTTTATCTTCCTTTTCTAATAAATTTAAATAATACCTAAATAATAAATTTTTTTTTTCTAACAAATCTAATAAATTTTTATAATATTGTCAAAAAAAATATTTTCTCCCCCAAAAAAAAAAAAAAAAATAGACGAAAGTATCAAAAAATAAATATAAACAAACAAAAAAAAACCAAAAATTATTACCTTTACGTTCTTTCAAATAGATACGAAATGTAAAACAATTAATTATAATAATTAAGAAAACAACAATGCTAATTCCAATTACCAAACCAATGGTTACATTATCAACTCGTTGAAAAATATTTTCATATTCAGTTTCATCCAATAATGACAATGTTGTCCTAAAATAAAATGCCAGTGAATAAATATTTTCTACAAATTGAAACTATTTAAAAGAAAATTTTTTTTTTGCTTTCAGATCTTAACAAAAATTGTTAAAATAAATTTTAAAAATTTATCAATGTTAAAGCTGTTGTAAACAAAAAAAAAAAAAACAAACATAAATTGATTCTTTTAGAAAACATTTTTTTTTGATAAAAATCAATTATTAAGTTCTGTTTTCATATAATTTTAATTGAAGTAAACTAATTAGGTGAATTTGTTTTGAAATTATTGTTTCATTTTTTTCATGAAATTCTTTTTTTCCTAAAAAATTTTTACAAGATAAAAAATGTTATGGATCAATTTTATTTCTAACTTTTCCAACATTAAACTTTTTAATTTTTGAATAAATCATAAGAATATTAGTCATTTTTTCAGGTAAATTATTTTGTAAATTTTAAATATAGAATTTTAAATTACTACTGAAAATAAAAAGGATTAAGGAAATATTCTTTTTTTTTCGTTTTTTTTTTAGGATTGCGATTAACATTTTACATACAACAAAATATGATAAAATAGAAGGGAAGGAGAGAGGAAGAGAGAGAAAATAACAGCAGAAAATGAAAAAGTTTTGATTGAAGTCACCGCTGATAGCAAATATTGTACTAAAAATTTTCTCACTTTTTATATTTTTATGCAAACAATCTTCTTTTTAAGTATTATTCGAATTACTATGAATCGCTCATTATACTATTTTCATAAAACTTAAAATTTTGTCTGTAGGATGTAATATTTAAGTTTAAAATATTACAATTCTTATGCCATTATTAAATTTTAGCTTTTTTATACTTTTAAAATACATTGAAAAATAAAATTTATTCATAATGCGTTCTTGTACGAATATAAAATTTGTTTGTACAAATATTTAATCATTATTTATGATAGGAATGCAAATAGTCGATGATAAATTAGAAAAACTTATTGGAAATGTGTATTGGTTTTTATTTTGAAATATTGTATTTTAAAAAATAAATAAATAAAAAAGGTTTTCAAATTCTAAAAAAGCTCTGAAATAATAATTTAACATTAATTTAAATTATCTGATTATTCATTAAATCATTTAGTGCGTTTTTAAATGATAACTGCTATCATATGCTTAGAATTAGATCTTTTATATAATTAAATTTTCTAATTTGTTGATAAAATATGATCAAAATACAAAAGTGTGAAATAACTAGGTAAAACATCTGTTTACGTGTGTTACGCTTGCTTACGTATGATATGTTTTTTTTTTTAATTTACTATATTTAATGCATATTAATGAGTTAAAAAATACCGTTAAAGAATAAAAAATACTTAATAGTATATAGCTAATAAAAATATACTTAAAAAATACTTAATAATATAAGTTAAAAAAATAAAAAAATTTTTAATAATATTATGTCTATTGCACTTCTAACGTTTGTTAAATAATTATACGACAATTAATTAATAACATGAATATTCTATTAAAATTAAGATAAAATAATTTTATACAATAAAATAGAAAAAATAAAGAATTACTCTTCTAAATTTTCCATAAACAATTTTTGCTCGCTATTGTTAGCTGGTGTTGTCAATTTAGTAAGCGCTGTTGCCTTCAAATTGGGCGCTGTTGTTCCCGTTTGAAGCATTGTACTAATCATAGCATTTTTTAATTGATAGCAGTTAAAGACGAATTACTTTTCATATCATTTAATCCAATAGTATATTTGTTTGTTTGTTTGTTTTGATTAATAAAAATAAATTTTTTTCCCAAAAAAGGAACGATAACATTTTTAGAAATTGAACGACAAAATTAATTAATCGAGGAAATTTTTTAACATATTTTTGCTAAAAAATTAATCATATTAGTTTGAAAATATTTGAAAAAAGAAAAGCAATTCATTCAGAAATATTTTCATATTTCAAATTAAAGACACTTTAAAATATTCCATAACATGTTAATCAATTTTGTTAATGATGGCATTTAATTAGCAAATTTGATGTTTAAATAATTTAAATTCAAATAAATCAATTAATTAGCACATTTTTGAAATGAAATGAATACCTGCTCGATGTTGTTAATTCACGGAGATTATCTAAATTGAATAGTGCTATCTCTTTTTTTGCACGATTAAAATTAGCTTTCAAATTATTTCTTAATTTTACCTATAACAATTTATCGTTATTAACACGAATAAATTATAAGTTTAATTTATACTAATAATTTTAATCAATGTTTAATTCATTCTTTTAATTTATTTTAGATAATCGTTTATATTACCGAATAACTGATCATTTCCTAATTATCTTTCGTCCTATTTACATGCATAAAATTATTTTTGGAACTTTATATGTGGTGAAGATTTTTCGGAAATTTTTTAAATCGTTTACCGAATTTGTGCATTTCTTATCAGACTTTAATATTTTTCCCAATTCTACTGATACAAATTCTGTTATTATTGATGAATTAGCTATTTAGTCTTTTCTTCTTTTGATTTCTTTAAATCGGTTATTTGTTTCATTCGATGTTAAAGTGAGCTTTATCCGGAAAAAATGACACCCTATAAATGGGATATTTCCTTTCCCTCATTTCTATTTTCTAAATGACTAGATTTCGACCGTATTTCATGACCCTATGCCAGATACGGATACGGTTATGGCATAAGATAGCCA